CACGACCGCCAGTGAGTGGAAAGCTCGAATCAACACTCTTCTTCACAAGTTCGAGCAATTCTTCACGCCTCTAGACTCATCTTACGGCGCCGATAAGATCAAGTCTAAAGGTTATAAAAGAGTGTTGGAAGTTTTACACAAGCTGGCGTGTGTGAGTAAAGCTGCAAGAATGCAACAAGAGTTCAATTTTCAATTCACTCTGGACTCCTTAGAATTATGTGAATTGTTATCTAGACTCTTAATGGTGTTTATTAATGAAGGAACAGAGAATAACTCTTTCGAAGCCGCTGATGATTTCATCTCGGGATACATTGCCACTGATAATTATTTGGAAATGACAGAGAAGGAGAGAGAGAAAATCAGAAAGAGAGTTCAACAAAAACACCAAGAAGATGCTATTAAGAATGTTAACTCATTCGTTCAGAAGTCGATGAATGGTAGACTACGAGGTAATGGACGATATCGTGGCAATGGAAGATATCATCCATACTCAGGACCTCAGAACAACTATCAAAATACCGCGACCCCATCCGGCACCAATAAGCCTCCCTTTCAAAGAAGAAACTATGGTGGAAATCCAAGCAGTAACTCCCAGCAATCTTCTGGAAACAATCTCCTCTGACAAAGAAGAGGTGATTGGAGGACGTCTTCAACGGTTTTCAGATCATTGGAAGCAATGGGGTGCTTCTCAATTCGTCCTCAATATGGTGACACATGGCGTGATCATCAATTCGAACCCCATGTTTTGGAAACACTATCATCAGAGACAATTTACACAAGAAGAGACAATTTGGATCAGACAAGAATTGAGCAAGATGTTCCACCTCAAAATTATAGGTCTGGGCTCTTCACGAACAATATTAAATCCAATCAATGTAGTACCAAAGAAAGGGAAGGACCTGTTTCGATTTATACTGGATTTACGAATGATCAATGGCGGAATAGAAGTGTCTCCCTTCAAAATGGACACTCTACTCAAATGTATGAAGTTTTTCAAGAAAGGAATGTGGGCTGCAAAGATAGATCTCAAAAAGGGTTACTTCCATATCCCTATACACCCAGACTCACATCATCTATTAGGATTCCAATTCGAAGGAATGATTTTCGAATTTCTCTGCCTCCCTTTCGGTCTCGCTCCAGCTCCAATTATTTTCACAAAGATATTCAAAGACATAATCATCGTTTGGAGAAGGAACGGAATGATGGTTTATATTTACATAGACGATATGTTAATACTGGCCTTCTCTCTAGAAGAACTTTGGGACAACATTATGACCATAATTCTCGATCTAATGTTCCTAGGTTGGCTGCTTCAATTAGAAAAATGCATCCTCACACCCACTCAAACAATAGAATTCCTAGGTATAACTCTAGATTTTGTGTCAGGCCGTATGTTAATCCCAACAGACAAAGTAGAAACAGCAATAGATGTATCAAACGAACTTATTCAAGCGGAAAAATCGAGAAAGTTTATAAGTTGCCGATTCGTAGCCAAATTTATTGGCAAAATGGAGTTCTTGACAATAGCCAATCCTTACATCGCACCGTTCTTGCACCGTCTCAGGAAAGATATGCTATCAGTGGTCCAAAAGAGAAGCTGGAAAGCATCTATGAGGATCAACAGAGGAGCCAAGAAGGATCTCGAAACTCTTCAGCAAATTGTGCAAGAGAATACTGGAGTTTGTTTCGAGTTAGATACACCAACCCCAGTCGTCGTCAATTCAGATGCATCCCTTCAAGGTTATGGAATTCATGCAAACTCCAACATTTTGGTGGGCAAGTTCAATCAGACAGACGAAACACAGACTCATATCAATCAGAAAGAGCTTCTTGCGGTTCTCTATTTTTTCCGTCATGCAGATCAACACAACAATTACCCTCAAAATACCTATTTCGAGTTCAGAGGAGACAACACAACAGCACTCAGTTATTTAAGGAAGGGTTACGGAATGTTCGACCATCTGGCCTCCACAGCGAAGGAGATTTGGACAATCCTACTCAAAAGAAAGTGGTCGATTTCCAAAGTTGTTTACATCCCATCCCAACAAAACAATATCGCAGATCGGTTGAGTCGCCTCGGAGATTGGCGCTCCTCAGAAGAACTTCTCGACCTCATTCAACAAGAATTCGGTTACCATACGGTAGACAGATTCGCGACAGCAAGTTCCGCAGTCACAATTCAATTCAACAGTTGGCTAGAGAACGATGCATTTCAGTCTCCGTGGGAAATGGACTCAGTCAACTATTGCGTCCCTCCATTAGGTCTAATTCCACAAACAATAGCACACATCATCAAATCGAAGGCTCGAGGGACATTACTAGTTCCCAATTGGCCCTCCTCACACTGGTTCTCAGTACTGCTGAAGATATCAGAAAAAAGTATAAGTGTTCCAAGAAGTTTGCTTATAATCGAGCCTTATACCGAATTGTTCAACAAATTCGAAAATCTGGAAATGATTGCCTTCAAAGTGAATGGCAAACTGTTTCACAATTAACAGCTTTAAGCGTAATTGTCTCTCTAGCTCCGTCAACCCTTACAGAATATTCAAAAATTTATGGCCTCTTCTCATGGTTTGTAACGGCCTTCGACTTTCAAAAAGAATCCGATTCAGTCTTAGATTATTTTTATGGATATCTTGTTTCTATGAAAAAAGCGTACCTTATTCAGAAAGCAAAAGCAGCCATCCAATTTTTCGCTGATCTTGAAGGATGGCAACTTAAAGTATCGAGTAGATTTGGAAGAGTAGTTAAGGGTTCTACAAAGATTTGGTCGTTAGTGGACAGGAAAAAGATAGTGAGAGACCCCATTCGCTCATATCACATCGCAGATTATATTTCTTCATGCAACCCACAGTCTCCTGAAGAGTGCTTTATTTTTTCTCTCACTTCAGCCATTTTGGTTATTGGTTTTAGATTATTTGCTCGTCCTGGCGAGCTATGTGAATTGAAGTGGTCCGATGTGGAAATGGACAAACCAAAACCGGGGTGGATTAATATTAATCTTGCTGGTCACAAAACGGACTTCTTCTTTAATGATCGACCTCACCCAATAGATCCTGTCCAAGACTCCAACACCTTTTGTCCTGTTCAAATCTTAACGACCTATATGAACCTAGTCAGAAATTTTA